TTGCGATGTATATGAAAGTTCAAATGAACATAAGGGAAGTAAGTCGGGTAGGTTTGTGTCAGAAATATCAGAGACAATGGTGGTAAAGGATTTATTTAGTGCTTCAGTTTGATCTTGTGGATAAATTGAAATTTCATTGGATGATTTCAGAGGACATGAGTTAGTGCTAGTGTTTGTATAGATTTGGCGATATGCCATCATTTTCATGGATGCACTGATTTGTCAGTAAGACAATTTTGAAATTTTTAACGTAATTATCTATTGTCTGTCAAATAAGTGATATGGTGTCATTGCGACAAATTCTAAAATTTGTCAAATCTTGTTGCATTTGTTTTTATCTTTAGCTATTCTATGTAATGTATTCTTATGTCTTAATCTTGGCCGATTTTCATCAGTCATTCAAGGTTGTCATTGGACAGTCATTGTTATGAGTTAGGAGTTGCTGTAACAGTGGTATCTGTTTCATAAGTGATAGTAGTGTTATTAACTATGGAATCCCAATCATTACTCAGCAGTTCATTATTAATAGCATCCCAATTAGCTTCATTGAATTTATATAAAGGTTTCTTGAATGGCATATTTTTAAGTGTTTAAAAAAGATGTTAGCTAGAACGGGGCAGTGATCACTACAGAGAGGGGAAAGTACTTGAGTTAAAAATGTTAACATTATTAGTAATAAATACATAAATTAAGGTAGCAGTGGTGTTAGTTATGCGTGTTGGTGATTTGATTATGTACCAGAGTATTTAACCGAGAAAATAGCGGGTTTTATACAAAATTAGGTGTCCTTTGCCCAAGGATCCTCCTACTAAGACGTTCAGGAAAAGAAGTGTTTTAAAGGAAAAAAATGACGAACGGACGCTACGCCGCGGCCTAAGCTCACTTTTCTTTTTCGGATTTTAGCGGAACTCATCAGAAACAACAAACAATCGTATAGATTTCCTTTCATCAATCAACGTTTTAATAATTATCATAATAACATTAAAAATGATTTTTATAATAAACCCATTCAACGGTCTAGCGTTTACGAAAATAGCAGTGACAACAACGGCGCATGCACCGTCAAGTTAAAGGTCGTCACAATACATATCGAACTCGGTACATTTGTTTAAGTTTACAGGGGAGTCATTGTCACTTTCGATAACACGATGTTTCCGCCTGTCATTGCGCCAGAAAATATACTGTGAATTCCGCCATGAACCTGGAGCACTGATGAAGTGGACCGTTTACACGTGGTCGCCATTGAATGTGTGCGTGTCGGAGAAGTTTAAGTGGAATTTGAACATGCAGCTGTTGGATTTGTGTGAATCCAACACTCGTGTTCATGTCATATTGAATTTAATAAACTCGTTCATTCATTTCATTCTTTCACAGTGTCCCCGCCTCTGCCGTTAATGCAAACAGCATGTAACCAGGTCAGCCATTTTATTTACAATAATAGAAGTTTTAGTGCATAGGATTATGACCGGATTCCCACGGTGACAACCTCATTTGCCTGTTTATTGTACGTGTGCTACATCGGTTTTCCTGAGCGACAATATTGCAAGGAAATAGCCTGTATCATATAATATATACATATTAATATAGAATAGAACATTTGCTGTGTGCGAAAGCATGTCAATAGCCCTCTGACCTGTCGGACAGGTATACTTCTATGCTGTTACTGAATTATCAAGGTCACTGAGGCTATCTTGTAACCATATATTGTAAATAGTTCGGGAATAGTGTTGTGAACAGATCTGACATCGCATCAGATCAACGTGCTGTCGGTATAACATGATTTCATGGGCACTATCCTTAAAGAAAGATAACGGTTCTTAGTTTAATTGAAAAGTTCTATTTTCGTCCAACTTCACTTTGCTCGCCTTGATAATTAAGGGTCGTATTGCACCCGTTTGGCTATGGTAATTTCTCTGCTATTTGTGTATCGTGTTTAGAACCAAGAAATGGACCAAGTGTGTCTATAAAGTATCCATAAGGAGAAACCATAAGTTTCACATACTTTCTTCCTTTCTGACTAAAGTATGTATTCCATTTTATATGCGGTCGTCGCTTTTAAGATGCAAGTCCAAATCGTAAAAAAGTGATATGTTGATCTAGTACCATGGCTCCCCCAAGAACGTCTGACATATTTTGATTTTTTTTACTTGAGGTCAACTTTGAACAAAGATGCTATCTGACTAAAAGATATATCTGTTTCGAACTTTACCCTGAACATTAAAATGCGTAATGTGTCGTTATGTATACGATACGTATCCGGAAAACAGGCGATAGCAATATTAATCTTCTCGAATTGTTCTCTGCTCAACCTTATCCAGCATAAGACATTATCATTGCCCATAAGTTTATAATTAAACAAAAGAAACGAATTTTTCCCCCTTAATCACATTTGATCTCTGAAAAGACACCCCTGCAGGTCGGGGATCAAAGATGTTTACATTATGTGCAGATGTGGTCGTGTGTAGCTGAATAGCAATAGGTTTGCATTACATACAAGCCGAATAGGCGAGTATATCTCGTAGAAGTGGAAGTTCAGCGGTAAAGAAGTCATTTCCTTTGAATGAAAAGTAACATATCCACGATAGATATCGTATGATACACAGTAAAATCACACACGCACACACACAAACACAAACACAAACACAAGAGGAGATCTGTTTCAATTGGTCACATTTCATCATTTTGGCTACAGGGCCACATTATTGAAATTTTAAAAAAAAGGTAAAGAACAAACCAGTATCTTAGCAGGCGAAAAAAGAAAAGAACCTGTATCAAGAAAACCAATCCCGGAAAGTCTTAAAGTAGAGTTAAAATCACAAAGAAATCTCCTACGTGGCAGAAATATAAACCATACAGAACGTTGGTCCGAGTGAGGAAGGCAATGGGTTTTGTCCCGAGGCCGGGACATACGAAAGTCCTTACAAATGGTAGTTGTCATTCCCTGCTTAACGTTAACCCGTTGTCAGTAGAATGTGACCGGGCGGAATACTGTGTTTGGTGCCTTCGGCATGGTATTTCAGTGAGGTAGCACTATCAAGTCGGCATCACATCAACGCTATCACAAGGAGGCACGTCCTTAAATGACCTAAGCTGTTAATGGGACGTTAAACAATATATAATCAAGCCAAAGGTTCAGCATTTACGGTCAACGTAACTATTGGTTCACCCTTTGTCGGTACAATGTAATCTAGTGGAATACGGTGCTTGGTGTCTTTTGCATGGAAGCATTCTTAAGTCGGCATCAGATCTATCCCAGGGATTGAAATACAGCAACATACCAGATCTTGCACACATAAACACGTGCATGCATATAATACACAAATGAAAACACGTCCTAAAATGGCCTTAGCTGTATATAGGGCTTTCAACCTGCTCTCCCCCATTACAACGCTTCTTCTGTCCTGTCTTCTTTTCGTCCTTCCTTTTGTTTCGGGCGGTGCCTCCCTATACACCCGTCTTCGTATGGCCCTTGCTGTTGCAATGATGTCACAGGGTATCAACATGCAACCTTTCAAACAAGATAAGTCTTATAGATTCTGAGATTAGGACTTTTCCCCCACGATCTATTTTTTGTAAACAAATGATATTTACTTGAAATTTAATTTTACATGAACTAAATATGAAATTATGTATGTTATTTTGTATTGGAAGTCCTTCAATCATGCCATCCATGTATTTATTACATGAAAAATTATTAATCTTATTGTAAAATGTCATATAATAAAACCATTGAGGACTTCAGTTGTTTCGGTCTATGCCTGATTTATTTACGGACCTGGTCTGAACAATATTCACTGAGGCCACCGGCCGAGGTGAACATTGTTCAAACCAGACCCGTTAATCATCTGAAGTTCATAATTGCATAATATATCACCTGATGTGGGGCCCTTAACATAGCATTCAATTAACGTCTTACAAATTCAAACTTTTAGCCGCTTTTGAGCTTCTCTGTGACGTTTTACGACCATGATATTGAGGGGCCTTTAAGCCTGAAACAATAAACATTCTAATTTGCTGGTCATAGCTCTATACAATTCTTTAAATATCTATTGGATGGTAAGGTCGTGTGTCGCATACTGCAACCTTTATGTCAGAGATTACAATGGTGCCAAGCATGATTAATCTATTTTCAAGATATATGCTTATTCGGATGACCATAATAACGTATGTTCTGATAATTTCCATAATTTGTTAGTAAAGGAATTATAATATCCAGGGTCATTTGTTTGTGTTATGTTTTGACACAGGTCATTAACTTCATAAGATAATGTTGTTTGTGAACGCAACGTGATATATCACAGACACTACCCCTTTTTTAAACGCGCATATATAATGCGATTTTGTCTGTGTAGCATGCAAATTCATGCAAATGATACTTGTTGTGATGTATCACTGCATGCTATATTTTCATTATGAATGTTCTGTTTGCCTTCCTACGCTTAACATCCTCCAAGTGTGGCACCGGTAACACGCCGCTTTGTTAATTAAACATGTCTGTCTAAACACCTGCATAAAATAATGCCTGCCTATCTGATTGGTGTGTTCTCCTTTGTCCCACATTTTAAAAAAATCCATAGAGGCAGTACTGTTATGAAAGCAGTTATAGTCTGTTTCATATATATTTTACCTGGTTTTTACCTGTGTTCTCCCACATCACCTGCATCATATATAACGTACTGTCATACACATGTAGCTTTGATATAGTCTATTGTCATCATTTTTAGCCATTTTTATACGCCCGTCAAACTTGACGGGAGTATTATGGTATGGCGTTAACCTCTCTGACGGCATCTGTGATAAATGTTTACATTTTGTGGCCGACTCACAAGTGAAAGCGAAATTGTATTCCTACGCAGAAATTACGAAAACAGAAAGCGTCAAATTTTAAACAATTGAATATAAATTACAATTTTATTGACTTATCAGAGTATACTGGAATGAATAAAATCATAATTACCAACGCGAGCCCTTTTTATTCAAGATGAACGCTTTATTCAGGTACTATATTAACCACATGATGGGATTTCCGGTTCAACGTAAAGTTACTTCCTGTTTTAATCATTATTGGCTGTGAGGATGAACTGCAAATCGGCGAAATACATGGTAATTATGATTAAGAGGTTATATTGACATGTTTGTTTTGCCTAAATATATATGTACTAGTATTCTAATCAGAAAAGCACAGTGAAAATCATCCAGTTTTCAATAGATCGTCCTGGATTTTATTGTGTGACAGAAAGATCAAACGTCAAACGCTTGCTTCGTAAAATCTGCTGTGTTTACATTTCCACTGTTACATTTAATTTCAGCGCAATTTGACAATTTTCGATGTAAGTATACACTATTTAATGATAAATAAAGCTGTTAAGTGAATTAAGCAGCTATAACAAATTATAATAAGCTGAAACAGCTGCAATTTTTTGCAATGATGCAAACCCTGGCACACATGCACGGTGACCCACACGCATCACATTCGACGTGGCAACTCGTAGTGACTCGACATTTTGGTGAATTCAATGAGTTTTTTGGCAACATGGGAAACAGAAACAAACCGAAGAAACATTTCAAAACTGCTACATGAAGTTATATATCATATATCATTATTTTCTGTCTATTGCAAATTCTGTTGTAATGAATGACATTGTAAAAAGACATAGTATGTAACTGTAAAACGTGAACTGATAGTAGCTCCATATCTGTTGCGAACATCCATAGGATATTCCAGCTCAGTTTCCGTTCTAAAACACTTAATTGTGCAAATCAAGGATATATTGATATATTTGGCCTTGACAACAAACACAGTATCTCAGAGATAGGAAGGATATGTTGATATTCCGTCTTTGCGTACTGCAGAGTTATCTTCTCTTGAGAGCAAGTATTGATTGTTACGTCATTGGTTCGTGTGAGAAAATTACGTCGTTTTCTCAAAAATTGATGACGTTACTCTCGCAAACAAATGACGTAACAATCAATACTTGCTCTCAAGAGAAGATAACTCTGCAATACGCAAAGACGGAATATATATTGATATTAACAATATGGTAAAGAATGCTAGCCTCTGTGAATGTGTTATAAGACTTGATTGTCCATGTTAAGTTTCATTCTTATATAGTCCTATAAACAAACACTAGTTTAACACAGCTTTTGTCTTACACTTGCACACTTGTAGCGTTTGATGTGATGTACTATTAATGATGTAACTCCTATCATGTATGATGTATTATATAAGTTATATTAAAGCTGTTTCTTTTTCAGGTTGGTAGACACATCCTTTGATCAAGGCGGTCATGTTGATACAGCCACGTTGAAGCGTCTACAACTTTATACAACAGCCGCGGCAACAAATACAATAGCCAGAAATAATACTATAAAATACTAATATGAACACAAAAAACGTGTTTTGCTGCAATTTACACTATACACTGAAAACTACTTTAATATACATTATACACTGAATACACTAACTTCCAGTTTGGGCCTCCGTACCTGTGGTGTCCTGCACATTCTTTGGACTACTTTTTTTTGGAATGTAAACAGCATGGATGTGACTTGAAAGACATTGACATAGTGTTATCAACTTCATGTTTGCTTGCGATTGTGTGATTATTTGGACAATATCTCAACAAATATATTGACATGGACACTTGGACTTGTGATATTTTCATATTTTAATTGAAATTTTCTGGAATTAATAAAGATAAAATAGATTTGTCATGTTGGTATCTAATTTGGAGTGTCGGCCATATTGGAATGTCCTTAACCGTCATGTCAGCATTCGTAATTACATCTGATGATGTCATAAATGTCATTACAAAAACTTTTGTATAAAAACTGTATAAGTATTCGAGTGTTTAAATTGCATTTGATAGAGTTATTTGTTTCCATCTTGAATCATCAGCATTTTACCCCGTAAACTAGTAACACGCGCAATTACACATAGCACTGCTGTTACTGAAACGGACCATAAACCTTGTGTAAACAACTACGTTAGAGTCTATCAGTTTTACGATCACGCTACTGGTATTAACTGTGTGTAGTTTGGGGATTTTACATTCTGCTATTAGCTATACGTGTCTGCTGTGGTACAGTAATGGCGCGAGTAACCTGGACGAGAAATTCTGAGTTTCTGTTATCCTGTGTTGGATATGCCGTTGGTTTAGGAAACATCTGGAGATTTCCTTCACTTTGCTACAAGAACGGTGGAGGTAGGTCTGACATAGATATCACAGTTATTTACCTCTAACCTGTCTCTGGTATATGTTTGTCTTTTCGCTTTCTCTAAACTGGTAGCTTTTTGATATTTTCTTTTTTTCTGATTTTCTAATGTAATAGAATAGAAACAATTTCACTTTTTTAATTATTAAGGTAAGATTATTTGACATTTTTAATCAAGAGGGATATATTTTGATTACAGGTATGTCTAAAGGTTTGCTTTACAGAAGTCGCCAGACTTAAAGTTAATAAAGAACTTGATACCTTTTCTCTGTGACGTAATCATTCTGTTTTTAAAGCAAGTGTGTACTTAACAAAGCCAGATATATAGAAAGATACATTTGAATACGACAGAGCGACAAATATCACTATCGTGATATCTGTCTTGCGTCATAAAGCGGATTATGTTCTTAAATGCAGATATTTTATCAGTTTGGTTTGGTTTGGTTTAATTCTGTTCAACGTCCTACTAACAGCTAAGGTAATTTAAGGAGGTGCCTCCATATGTGTAGTGTATGCGTGCTTGCGTTTGTATGCAGGAGACAGGACATGTTGGTGTGGTTACCTCCATGTGATAGCGCGGATCCAAATGCCGACATTTTTAGTGCTTTCTCACTGAAATACCATGCCGAAGGCACCCAGGTCAGCATTCCGTCCGGTCACATTATACTGACAACGGATGAACCAGTTCATAGGGAATAACAGCATTGTTTAGGACTTTGGTGTGTTCCGGCCTGGGGACATAACCCCATGTTTTCCTCACTTGTTTAATCAGTTGTTAAATGTTACTAAAACGGCAGAACCATCGATATTATGTATGCCCAGTTGAACTTATGCACTACACCGTTGAAATCAATATTAGCACAGTACTAATTTCTCCCTTCACATTTGATTGATATGCACACTATCTTCGTTCTTATGATAAACTCACCCTGATTAGAGACGGCGAATAGATCGAAATATAAACTGCAGCGACAATTCTCGGTTTACACTATTCATAGTTTACACTTAATCTTCTGTAGTAAATAGTAGCAGTAATTTTGTCAATTATTACATATTTCGTTGAGTAGTATAGCTTCACCTTCAGTGATGTTTTAATTTGTGAAGTTACATACAAAATGTGTTGACCAGTGTACGAACATGAACCATACTTATTACATCATATGGGCGGATTAGGCCGATCGAATATCATTCGGCGGTTTGACGACTGAGGCCGGGATTTAAATCCCAAGCTCGCCAAGCTCGTGGTATTAAAAATGTTTCAGAAGTGTTTTTCGCCTGGCTGCACTACTCTCACATCCCAGGTGGAGTATATTTTTCTTGAACACTCTTGTATGGTTATACTTTGGTTTGTTTACTTCCTCGCAACAGCCAGGGTCATATGAGGACGGATACCTAGGGAGACACCGTCTGAAAAATAAGTAGATGGAAAAGAAAGAAGATAATTTTATGGGACGAAAAAGGTTCAAATTGTTGCAACGGGAGCAGCAGATCTATTTTTGTCTCTACAATGTCCCCTTTGCAAAAGACACGGACCTCCAATTTTGGAGGTCCCCCCACCACCCTTATTAGTCGCCTTTCACGATATGCATGGAGTGCGATACACCAGGTCTGTTTTTGATTTCTTCCCACAATAGTCACCTTTCACGATACTTATAAGAACAAAGGAGGGAACCATCCCCAATACTGACTGGGAACCCCTCATAAGTCGTCTCCAACGATCATGCAGTGGGAAACAGCAGGTCCATTTCCCCCCGAACCTTTTTGTACTATGGACAAAGCTAGCACGGTCCCACTGCAACATAGATTTGTATTTTCCATGCATGGCCTTGAAGCACATAATAAGGCAGGACAGCTCTTGCGAAAATATCTTTATGTATTTAGTGATTGTGTGGTTTTGAACGGCAACATTTTGAATGTTAAAATATTCATGAAATATTCATTATAGCTATCAGCTATATTATACATTCAAAGATTTGTTATGTATTTCAACATGTGTTGTACATGTTAATGTTGATTTAACAATTTTAATATTATCATACATTCAGTCACACCTGTTATATTTTAAAACAAAATAGTATATTTACATTTGCATGGCATTGTCACTATATAGCCTCTTTGAAAGCTGTGTCGTTGATGGGACTTTAATTACCATGCATCACGAGACACAATTCTAAGCGTATTAATACAACACTTACCGGAACTACATTATCCAATATAAATAAACATGACGGCTGCTGAAATATCGCAAGGCATTGTGAGATTTGACAATGTCATTGTAAATGTATGTGCAAAATAAAAAATAAAATAAAAAAACACTTTTATTACAACGAAAACAAGACCAAGGTCTGCAATATCGTACAAAATGCACATCGGTTGAAATCCCCAATGCCGGCAATGGAAACTATTTTAACGCTCATGCAATTTATCAGAAATATCGTCTGTTACACTGCACTGATCAACAGCGGTTCGTTACAACTGTCTGAAATACACATATTCTATAGACCTACTGACACATATGTTACAGACCTACTGATATGAGTCACAGCACACATAAACATTTCAGACATTTGTAACGAACCTGTGCTCCGTCGCAAGATCACTCACTTCAAACGCAATCAGTTTCACGCGTCTCGCATCCACGGTTCCTCAGTTTCTGACGACATGTCAAATAACGAGGCTGTTATAGAATCTACCGACTGTTGTCAGGTTCCCATACAATCAACAAATACATTCACGCCTGGATTCTTCACAAAATGAGCAAAGAGAAAAGTTCGAATTAACTTCCAAAAATAACTCCCTCGTGGAGGGCAAGGTCGGATTTACGGTGTTCACTGTATTTGTCCATGCGCGAAATTTGTTCCGGGGAAAAATCGAAACAATTTCAAATCTAACTTTCAGCTCAGAGTTCTATTGATAAACTTAAATCACCCTATAGACATATCATACGCAATTGTATTGATACTAAATTGTGGAATAAATTTGAAGTGTTTGTTAAAAATTCAAAGTACTACTTTGTTTGCCAATCAGCACGCGACAATACGCTGTTTAAACTATTGAACGAAATTGTGTGGACTGTCGATAAGGCGGGCATTTTTAATTTTAAATATAAATTATAAGTTAAAAAAGAACATAAGAGGCAGAGAAAACGTAAATATAAGTATTGAACTGTTTTTGTATGGTATTTTTGATCTATTTGAATGACACAGCTAGCGCGCATTATGTTATTTGCTTGCAAAGCTGTGTCATTCAAATAGATAATAAATACCATACAAAAACAGTTCAATGCTTTTTTAATGCAGGCATAATATTAATATAAACGTATTTTATGTTTTCTTCAGGTGCATTTCTCATACCGTACCTGTTCTCATTGGTCCTCGGAGCGGCGCCTGTAATGATTATGGAATTGGGATTGGGACAATATATGAGTCAAGGTGCTATCGGAGTATGGAAGATATGTCCCCTCTTCGAAGGTATTTATATACATTCGTTTTGGTCTACAGCTCCCTTTGATCTGGTTTTCACAACTTAACGAGTAATGTAAGAGCCCCAGGTGAGGGAAAACCACTGTCCATGTATATGTACAGCCAGACGTTTGATCACTTGTAATTCAGAAGTCTGGTCAAATACAGTACTTTAAAATTGCCGCCACCAGATGACATTGTTTTTACTTTCGTTTCCGAACGTTATGTCAACGCCGTTTTAACTTTTCAAAGAATAATGAAATTAATGAAAAAACTTACCTGTAATGCATTCCTGAAGTATCCGTTTATTCATTATTATCGAGAAAAATGTAAGAAAATGTGTCGAATCTCCAGAATAATGCCATATATATTCCACTGAATAAAATTTAACTGAGCACAAAGCCAACAAGGCTGACTGGGGTTGGCAAAAAGCATGCAAAGCAAGTGAAATTTCAACTGTACACCATTCAAAACACTACAGGTTCTCACTCAAGTAATCTGGCTTGACTTGTATTAATAGCCTTGTTAGCTTCATGAATTATTGTAAAATATCCAATGAAAATACATGAAATCATTCTTTTTGAAGCATTTTCTTACGTTTTTCTCGTTAATAGTGAAAACATGGATACTTCAGGAATGCATATACAGGTAATTTTTTTAATGAATTAAAATATTCAATGTAATGTTGGGCCACTCAAATTCTGACTTCAAAAGTTTAAAAATGTGTGTCAACCTTTGGACCAATGAAACATTTTACCAGAATCTCGGTAAGCCTCGTTATGATGTCACAAAACGAAAGCACTGGGTTTGACCAGACTCTCTATTCGGGGTAGCTTGCGCAGGCAACAAGAGTCTGGTTGAACGAGACTAGGTTTGACTAGACTCTCTGTTCGGCGTAAAGTCTGGTTGAACGAGTCTTCCTGTATATGAGACCGTGTCCTTATATAATAAAACACTGAAACACCTTTTCTTAATTTAAGAATAATGTTCTTATCGCACCACGGTCGTCTATCGTCCGCACAAATGTGTGCAAGTAATAATCGTGAGATTTTTATCGTTCGCCCATTGTGCATACATCATACGCACACTGCACATCGTGTAACGTTGTGCGATCCCACAACTGTACATAAAATTCCTCCAATAGTACAGAGGAGAAGAAGGATTTTATAGCTTTAAACCTCAAATTCCCCTATAGGGCACAACATCTCTGCACCCATAGGGGCCTAACCCTCCGTTTATACAAAATTTAGTCCCCTTTGCCCAATTATTTTCCAGGCCAAATTTGGATAAACATATATCAATTAGCACAGATGGAGAAGAATTTTAAAGATTTAAACATCATGTTGAGCCCCGCCCCTCTGCACCAAGAGGGGCCACACCCTTCATTTATACATAATTTAGTCCCCTTTGCCAAAGGATAAAATCTATTTATCCCTACACTAGAACAATGATTTTAAAGCTTCTATCTCTATTTCCCCTATTGAGCCCAACTCCTCTGTCCCGGGGGGCCACACCAAAACCGTTTACACAAAATTGAGTGCCCTTGGCCTAAGGATGCTTCAGAATAAATTAGGATAAAATAACTTTATCCCTACGGTAGAAAAATGATTTTAAAGGTTTAACTTCTATTTCCCCTCTTGGGCCCCGCTCTTCCGCCCCAAGAGACCACGCCGACCATTTATACAAAATTGGGTTCCCTTGGCCTAAGGATGCTACTGAGCTGTTCAGGACTAGAAGCATTTTAAAGGGAAAATTGACGGACGGACGCCGCACCATGACATAAGCTCACCTGGCTAAAAAATTATTTGGTATTGTTCATATGCCTTTGGTATCTGATCATTTACGTTCAGTTGAAACAGTATTTTAGACAAACTTGATTTCAAACTGTTAGGCCACTACCAATAACGATCATTTCTAGAAGGATTCAACAGTTGTGTGATGCAGTGTATTTCTTTTTCGGCATGCTCTATCTATCACTAGATGGTGACCTTGATGCAATCACCTTTGTGTGTCTCTATACTTGTAGTCTAAATAAGGATAGGAGGCACGGTAGTAAATGAGTACGTGGTTGGGTAGTTGCTAGAATTGTAGAACGCTAGCTGTGAGCGCCGAAACGGCAGCACCGGCTGTATGCTTCCAAGGGAATTGAGAAAGACAGTGGGTGGTTGCAAAGGCACTATAACCACGGATAATAATTTGTGACCCGCTTTGGGACGACCTACGGACTAGGTTGTGATAAAGCGGTATATAAGAACCTCGAATTATTATTATCATTATTAGTATTATTATAGTCTACAAGTGTTTGCATCGGGTGAATCACCGTATACACCAACAAAATCAGGAAAGCCTTTTTATAATTTCTATCACGTACTCCAGCACACGTGCATGCAAACACAACACACATGGAGGCACGTCTTAAATAACCTTAGCTGTTAATGGGATGTAAAACGAAATAAAACCAGACCAAACATATCACGTACAATCAGGTAAATCATGTTTTAGTGAACGAAGTCGGTGATCTATGTAGCTACATTAAACTGTGCCAGTTGCTATTTTTTAGAGAGAGAAAAAATAACAATACATACATCATTTTATATTTCCTATAGTGACGTTCACATATGACCTAGATAATGACCTTACTGTTTATTAGTCATAACAACTGTGCCCGTCCGTCCGTCCGTCAACACATCGTTTCCGGTGGTAGGCTATTATCGTTTTGAAATTAAACATGGCGATACACTTTGATATTTATTTGTCAAACATATTTAAAAGGGTTCTTAGGTCAAGGTTACTCTTACTAAAAATAGATCGTGATGGGTTCAGTCAGTTTTGTGAATTAATGAACTTTATTAGTATAAGTAAAACTAACCCCAGTGTAAATCATGATATCCTTAAAAAAAATCAAAGTTATAAATCTTTCTAAGATGCTGCGCATTTTAAAGATATTTTCAATCTTTTCCTTGTAAACAATATAATCTCTCTTTTTCCATCGATTTTACGAAAACATTTCCTCTCACTTATGCATCATAGAGATTCTATATCTAAGTAAGTTTAATTGTTTAATACTATTCCGATTTTGGTGTCCATGTTTACAGACAGTTTTGAGATCCTCTCAAGTTTGTTTTGCCGAAGTGACGATGTTCAACCTTTCCCGTGCTATGACGTTGTGCACAATTACGTTTCTCTCTTGTCTTTTTGACGTCATAAGTGGTGGCTGTTTCAAAACTTCTTTACCTGATGCGTATAGGGACAGCTTAGAGTATAATGCTATTTAATGGAATAATTAATTAACATTATTAGCATTGTTTTGTATCATGGTTTGAGGCTATCTTAAGGTTGTAGTGTATAAGACATTCCGGATATTACTATCCGTCCGCGCATAATACTAGTCACGATATAGCACTCTCCTGTATGGAGGTGAAATCAGTAATCCACCTAAGTTGGGATCGACATGATGTGACTATTTGACTGTGATGATTAAATAAGACTATTTGTAAAGCAGAAAGTAACTTATTTCCTAATTGTTTTGGTGCATAAACTGTTTCAAATATTCGTTTTACTGTATCCAATCTACAAATCTAAATGTTTATGTAAAGGTGTTATAGTCTGACTGTGTAATGCTTTCTAACCACGAACATATCGCAACCTCCCAAAATACACACACATACACTACACGCATGCATCTTGCACACAGGGGAGGCCGTCCTTAAATGACCTTAGCTGTTAATAGGACGTTAAACAAAATCAAACAAACAAACAAACAAACAAAGCTTTCTATATATTCCAGGTGTCGGGGTAGCTACCATGGTGATCCTGACCTACTACAACACCTACTACATGCTAATCTTGGCTTGGGGCGGGTACTACCTCGTCATGAGTATGCAGGCTGTGCTTCCCTGGACTCACTGCAATAACGCGTGGAACACTGACAGGTACTATAGGGGCAACACGTAACAGTAACAATGATAAGTTAATCATAGGCGTTTTCATGTATAAGAAAAATATAAATTCTATCTACAGCTACCAAACAAACTACAGTTTTGAACAGGAAATATTCACACAACATGTAACCATTGACTAACATTGACATTTATTCATCGATCTTAATGCCATGCGTCACGACAGACATGTGCCTACCGTGAATAATACATCAAAAGAGCCATCGCCTGCTCTGACTTGTTAGCCGTACAGCAAACCATCAACACTCGTAAAATAATATAAACAGGATTTAATGTTCTGTCACCGGATCACGTCGGAATAACTCGAAATAACAGTAGATCAAGTTACAAAAGCAGGTGATAGCCTACAACCAGAGGCTAATACACTTGCCTTGCTCTGATTACATAGCGATCTTATTCAAATGAACGCTTGTTATTCACCCTTATAAGGTTGCATTGCGTGACAAGTAGACGTGATATCACCCGGCTACGCATAGGCTATATCTGTATTACACATGCATGCATTAAACGAAATAAATATGCACCTTTCTGTCATGATTGTGACCAACCATTTACTGTCAAACATTCAATGATCGAGTGTGATTATTTTAAACCAATACGTGAACAATTCTATAACTCAAGTCTAAGTAAAACTTTATAGTTCCGCGTTATCACAAGGAGGTAAATACACCAACATTCCCTGTCTCAAGCACACATACACAGATGCATGCATGCATAACACACATGGATGCACGTCCTTAAAAGAGCTTAGATGTTGAGCTACTAGATTCAACATACAAAATTATGTCACTAAGCAGACTCGCTTGGCAAAGTAGAATAATCACTTACTCAGTCAATAATCAAAATTGCAGTATATATTTCCTCTTTCCTCGGAACATTTTAATTAGGGGATAGCCCTACTGTATTTTGAAATTTGCGGCGGTAAATCGTGATTATACGGTCGCAAATTGAATTTTACTGGCGACACACTTTTTGCAACAGTATAATCACGATATACCGCCGCAAATTTCAAAATACATTAGGGTTAACACCATTCTAATTAAAATGAACCAAACCCAACGAAAGAAACGACGATTTTAAGATATTTTTGAGTGTTTTCTTGATAAATAATCACTTTCCTGACGTGTCAGGGTCAGTCGGGGTCATCGACGTCATTAACAATCGCCATCCGGGCTTCGTATTCAAATGAGAAATTTGCGGACGCTATATCGTGGTTTTACTGTCGCAAATTATTTTATTGGCCAATCAAATGCCTTGTTACATATTAGATGAATTGGAATTTAGATTTAGATTTGACAGGGTGTTTTCCTCGGATTTTTCGCGTTGAAGTTTGATAATCGTCTTTTTTTTAATGACGACGAAGAAGAGTTTCAAAAAGTTATCAAATGTATTATCAATATCAGTTCATAATTATGTTACCAACCTGTCCCGTCAAATCCACAGGTGTTCTGTTTCAAAGGAGGCAGCAGTAGCCTCATGCCTTAGCAGTTTGAATGTATCACAAGACATGTACAATGTGTCTAAAAGTCGGTGTCTAGAGGGAAACTCGACAAATCATCACCCTGTGGACCCCACCGTCGAATTCTGGGAGTAAGTATCGATTTTATCATTTTACAGTCATTCAGGACAAGCATTAAATATGTCTTGACTCGCTGTTGTTAATGGACCATCAATACAGAGGTGGTCACCAGGGCCAATAGAGGGTAGATAAAACATGTTAAATGAAGGAAATGACGTCAAATAAACAAAAACGTTAAAGACAAACAAAAGAATTATCGGAAAGTCAACACCGGGACATAAATGATATTGTTAATAAAACAGTAAGAACATTATTATTGGTTGACTTTTATTGTATTTACCAGAATACATTTATCTGACAGGATTTAAAATATAAAGAAAATATGTGCTAATATCTCATCAAGTTACGTATTAATTTACTAAACCTTATATACATAACGGTTTCTTGCAAATTCGTATTAAAAACGGTTTCTTGCAAATTCATATTAAAAAATGTAGTATCACTTTTTAACCACGTTTGTTGTGACGAAGGTCGTTGTTAAAGGACCACTGTTCCTTGATCTATATTACGATCTAAATTGACCCGTTAAAACACTATGCCAGTGCCGTCAGCATGCGATTTGAGTGAGGAGGCACTTACAACTTGGTATCTCAAGGAAGCAAATACACCTTGGCTGTTAGCAAGAGGTGAAATGCATTAAAACTAAGTCAAATACTCTTGCTTATGTTAAAATCTTATATATTACAGACGGCGTGTCATCCAGATGTCCGGCGGAATAGAAGAGAGTGGTGGAGTTGTGTGGGAAATCGCCCTCAGTTTACTGATTGTATGGATTATCATATACTTCTGTGTGTGGCGAGGTGTTAAGTGGAGCGGTAAGGTAGGTGTTGAATCGTGTGGATATTTGATCTCCAAAGTTAACGCATCTTTTTTGGCTATGATCGCAGTCTGAGTACAACCCGCGAAATGTCAACTCACCATAATAAAATAAAATTTAGTAAGCATTGCAGATTATGTCTGCAAGCTATTCACTGTTAAATTTAAGGTTAAAAGGCGATTTATTAATACAATAGCGAAGTAATTGACTTTTGTCGCCTGCTACACCGTCCTGTCTGTTGAGAGGGCATCAAACCCAAATCAATCGCTAATTAACACTAATATGATTGTTAATTCAAATTGATTTTTTTTCAAATGTTTTTCAATTATCAATTTTAAAAATTATTTTGTGTTGTAGGTGGTGTACTTTACCGCTCTGTTTCCTTACGTGGTCCTATTGTGTTTTTTGGTGAGGGGCCTTACGCTGGATGGGGCTGTGGACGGGATCCTCTATTTTCTTATCCCCGACTTCAAAAGGCTTGCTGATGTACAGGTAAACATGTCGTTTTTTTCAGGGGGGGGGGGGGGGGGGGGNGCAAGTTTGAAATAAATAGAAATAGACTCGTTTTAGAACTTTACAAATTAACGTGTCCAAAATGGGAATTATCTCACATGTAATGAAATTAACATGCTTAAATCTTCAATAAATTGAAAAATTTGGAAAATGTTGCACACGATGATGATACAATTTTATAGAAATTGTGTCATTTAAATGCTCTAGTGGGAATTATAGTACCGCACCTTTAACACCCACACAGGTGTAACTCAATGAGGTCCCATTTGTCATAGAATGAATTCTGTATTTAACTGTTCCTGATTTAATCTTCCTCTACCCATACTTTTCTATTTTTACTATTCTCATCGCCTTTTGTCCGTCGTCCGTCGTGCGACCGTAAACAATTACCATTTTCGACTTCTTCTCACAAACCCCTGAACCAATTGCAATGACATTTTGCAGAAACCATCCATGGACAAAGATGCACCAAAGTTGTGAATTAAATCCACCTCCAGGGGCTCTGAGGGGCGGGGCCAAAAGTGGTCAGATTTGCTTAAATTTTAAAGATCTTCTTCTTAAGATCCAGTTATGTTTGAAACAAATACTCTTCAAAGATGGAAGGGTATTGAGGTGTTTTATCACAAATGTTAATTTCAGTACCCCCGCGCTACACGTTTGCTTCTTGGAAGGGATTGACGTTTACTATAGTTTATAAAGGGAAATGATACTTTTGGGTATATTTTTTCATTTTCAAATGTAAATAATTCAAACATGATTTAAATTATAACCATGGGATGACAGTTTGACACCATGAAAATTATGAGCCTGGCCCACCCCAAGGGACTGAGGCCGGGGCCCAAAAGGGTAAAATTAACTTAAATTTCAACAATCTTCGTTAGACCCATTTATGCTGGAAACAAATACTTTCATACATGAGGTGCTTTGTCAAAATTGTGAATGTCATTACCCCCAGGCTGCACGCCTATAGATTATATAGTAAAATGATATTTAATTGAAATTAAACTTGATTGGAGTTACAACCCTAAGATGACAGTTTGTAACTATGAAACACAAGTGCTGAGGGACAGGCCCCAAATTGGTCAAATTGGCTTAAATTTCAACAATCTTCTTCAGACTCAGATATGCTGGAAATAAATACTCTTTATATATAGTTTAAAGGTGGTTTAAAGGTGGTTTATCAAAACTTCGAATTTCGTTACTCCCGTACCTCATGCTCCCCCCTTGGGATGAGGTGAAATTTACTGTAGTTTCTGTAGGAAAATTATACATTTGGGTGTTTTGGTTCATTTTCAGTTTGAAATTCAAAACAGGTTGAAATTTATTGGAATTTCATTGTATATATGCATGAGAAGATGGCAGATGCTATGAACATTTGACCGTAACCAACTTTTAGGGACTGAAGGATGGGGCCCAGAATGATGAGTCAGAGGTGCTAAAATTTCTTTGACCCAGACATGCTAGAATCTAATACTCTCCAGCCTTAATTTGCATGCTACACATTGGAAAAGGCAGTTCTGGTGTTTTTTTAATATAATCTGATATTTGTGTAAGTGATATTCTACAAAATTTATCTTGTTTTGAAATTCCAAGCGGGGACCGACGATAATGTTAAATCTCCGTAGGCGTTGTTCCTTCCTTTGTTGACGAGTAGATGGCAATTGAATGTAATCAGAAAACAAGATCCTGAACCACCCTTAGGTCTGCTCGGCGAAGACGTTAAGTACCCATTGATCAGATACAAAATCACAGCCTAACTACACTAGACACAGATATCGAAAATGCTAACCTACATTATTAAGATCAAACATTGATTAAAATCTTCCATCTCTGAATTTCTCCCACCTCCAAAGAAAATAAAAGTATTACTCGCTCTGCAAGACCGCTTCAAATGACCTACATCTACGGACAAAATGTATTCAAAAATTTTAATTTCGCTCAACTCAACCTTGAAATGGTTTCCCATTAGTGGAACGGGTTAAAATATTTCAAGATTAGAGTCACTCTAGCATTAAATTGTGTTTTTTTTACTCATTGAAAATAAATTTCAAGCAAAAGGTCACTTTTTCCACAGTCAACGTACTTTTTTTAAATGTTCAATTCATTTATACCTTAAACACTAAGCGGCCTTGTCCCAATATAGGAAAGTATTTCAGGGCGATAGCCCATTTAAAATCGGTATCAGGTCTGCGTTATCACAAGGAGGAACATACACCATCGAGGCACGTCCTTAAATGACTTCAGCTGTTAATTCTTAACGCATTGCCTTGCTGACTTTCAAAGCGAAACTGGTCGATTTATATATATTATGTACAGTAGATAACGAGGGCATTGTTGCCAAAATTTACAACTAGCCAAGGCCTTATCGTACCTCCTGTATAAAAACAGTGAGTAAACAATAACAATCAAAATGATTTAAAAGAGGAATTCGAAACGTAATTAAATTTATCACTTTACTGGCCGGTTTTTACTATGTCATACGGCCATGTCATAAATATGGTAATAAACACGTGTAATACAACCTAAAGGTGCTGCGATTGGTCAAAACGGTTTGAACATATTCCTACGCCACTACAGGTACTGTTTTTATTTACAGTACCTAATGATATTTTTACTGTTATTTAAGATGAATTTGATAATGTTATTTTGTCATTATTATTTTCATTGCATTTAAAACTGTTCATTATTAATTAAAAAAAATTACAAATTATTGATATTGCGTATTAAATAGAATCTTACATTATTACATTCACGTTCAATAAAGTTGTATTCTTATAACAAGACGATTGAAAATGAAGTGGCGAGTTGTATACTTAGTTAAAGACTTTTTATCGGTTTTACAGATATTGCTGCAAGCTCGCGATCGAAGTGACCTACTCTAATCGTCTTTTGTCCGTCGTTGTCCGTCGTCCGTCGTGCGTCTGTAAACAGTTCATATTTTCGACTTCTCCCCAGAAACCGCTGATTCGATTTCAATAAAAATTTGCAGGAACCTTCCTTGGTCAAATATGCACCAACCAAATTTGCGAATTATATGGTTCCAACCCCTAGGGGCTTTTAGGGGCGGGGCTAAAAGTGATCAAATTTGCTTAAATTTTAAAAATCTTCTTCTCCAGAATAATATATGCTGGAAACCAATATCAGGTGGAAGTGTCTTGAGGTACTTAATCAAAGTTGTGAATTTCATGACCCTCGGCCATCACGTTCACCCCTGGGGAGGGGATGAACTTTACTATGCAATTTTTGGGTATATTTTGTTCATTTTCTACTGGAAATCATTCAAACTTGATTTACATGATAACAATGAGATGACCTTTTCATACTTTGACATTGTTAACCCCGTCTCATCCCCAGCGGCTGATGGGTGGAGCCCAACTTGGGTCATATAGCCACAAATTTCAATAGTCATCTTCTCCAGGCTGAGAACTTATACTCGTCATAGATGGAAGGGTCTTGAGGTGCTTTATCAAAAGTGTGAATTTCATGACACTTAGACTCCATGTTTGCCCCTGGGGAGGGGGCAAAGATTACTATAGCTTATATAGGAAAATGAAACTTTTGGGTATGTTTGGTTCATTTTCCGTTGGACATTATTCAAGCTTGACAGACAGAGCTATGAAAAGACGATTTGATACGTTGACAGTTTGGGCCCAGGCCTGCCGCCAAGGGCTGAGGGGCGGGACTTAAAGGGGTCAAATTGGCTTAAATCAAAAACAATTATCCAGACCAAGATGTGCTGAAAACAAGTAATCGACATAGATGGAAGGGTCTTAAAGCGCTTTGTCCCCTGGGGATGGGATAAATTTTAATATAGTTATATAGAAAAAATACACATTTTGGTATATTTGGTTAATTTCCTATTGGAAATCATTGAGACTTGATAAGACATTATAACTTCGAAATGACAGTTTGATACTATGACAGTTTGGGCTTTGGCTATCTTGGAATTCTTCTCCAGACTCAGATATGCTGGAAACAAATAATCTTCATAGATGGAGAGGTCTTCAGATGTTTTATCTAAATAATGAATTCCATGACCCCCAGGCTCCACTTTTGTCCCTTTGCAGGGGGTTAAGTGTACAGTTTGTATAAGAAATTGATACTTTCGGGTATATTTTGTTCATTTTCAATTGGAAATATAAACTTGAAATTATAACCATGAAATGACAGTTTGATACTTTGAAGATTTTGACCCTGGCCTACCCCCAGGGGCTGAGGGGCAGGGCCCAAAGGAATCGAATTGTCTTAAATTTCAACAATCTTCTTTTCCAAACCAAGATATATGATGGAAACAAACACTGTTCATAAATGGAAGGGTCTTAAGTTGCTTTTTTAAACTTTGAATTACATAAGCTCCATGCTCCAGGTTTGTCCTTGGGGAGGGGGTGAATCGTACTAAAGTTTATATAGGAAAATGATACTTTTAGTTTTGGTTGTAGTTTTCATTTTCAAATAGAAATAATTCAAACTTGATTGGAATTTAACCATGAGTTGATACTATAACTCAGGTGGCCGTTAAGGCCTCTTGTTTTTCATGGTTACTTGATTTTTGTTTGCTTCTCCTCATTGTCATATGAAATGTAATTCTCAATCCGATTTGGTTTTTTTTGTTGTCGCTACGGTACATATTAGGCTCCCCAAACGAAGTGTGGACTTACTGATTTTGCTGCGTTCTTATTATTGTTCTTATTGTTATAAGTTTTCTTCCAAAAATTTGTTTCCGATGGGGTTTTTTATCGTCAGAAACTGCTGATGGATAATTATGAAAATTCGCATAAGCAATTATGGATATTTGTAACGCATTTCGTTTTCGGATTGGTCATCAAACATAGCCGCCGTAGCCTGTTATTGATTTACACATGTATAGGTGTTTTCCAAGGGGATGGCAACTGTCCCAGACTATTTTCGATCTTTGCTCTAAGTTAGTACTTTTAAAAGTATATCCTGGCATTGTGATATTTTTCCAATACTTTATTTGCAACTACAGGGGCATTTTAGAGCACTCTTGTTACGATCTCCGTTGCAATTAATTAATAACTTGTTATAATTAACCTACCTTCACATATCAATTTGACAGGTATGGGTAGATGGGGGAACTCAGATCTTCTTCTCTCTTGCTGTTGCATTCGGAGGATTGATGACACTCGGAAGCTATAAAAAGTTCAACGACAACTTTTACAGGTACAGATTTTCAGTTTAATGCACGTGGTGTCGATGTATATTTGAATTTCATCCTTATTGTAAACGTCGGTCCACTTCGCTTCAAACGGTCGATCCAAATTCATATTATTATGAATTATGACATTATATCATCATACTTCTGGAAATCCATAAAGATCATCTGGTGAACGTAAGTATTTTCCTGTCCATTACTTGAAAGTAGGATAACGCAATCTAATAAGGAGTGTTTTATTGTAAATGGTTTGTCTTTGCGTTTTAAACTATTTGAAAACTGTTGGTTTTCAAGTACAAAGGAAGCATCTACTACCTCTGGCCACTTTTACTTTTAAAGTTTAACTTTTTCGTAGGACATTGTTGTATCGACCTTTCATTGGTCATGATGACCTCCTCTATGTTGATGGGTCGTTAAATATGTAAAGATAGTAATGTTTGTACTTTAAAGAAAGTATTAAATTGATTCCCTTTCAGGATATGTAATTGTTGGCTGGTCCGGTTTTTATTTTAGAGACAGTATCGTCATCATGTGTATCAACAGTGGCACAAGTATTCTAGGAGGATTTGCTGTGTTCTCCGTTCTCGGGTTTATGGCACGTAACCAAGGAGTTGACATTTCAGATATATCTAACTCAGGTACAGGACGCACCGGTATCCCTCTTTTTGTTTAATACAGCTCGACGGGAATACATGCCGTGTTTGACAATGTCGTTAATGACAGCGATACTAGTGTACTTACAAGTTAGAAAGACCAGGAGATAGCAGCATTTAGACCAACAGCTCCATAGAATTACCATTAATGAAATGTTTGTTTACAGTTCCCATTTTTTCCCATGCGCGCTATGTCAACCAGTGAAGCTGAAGTGAGGATGTTTTTATTTAGGTTGACTGTAGGTTCGGAAGAAAGTCCCTGGGGATGTTACTTTTAGAGCATTTCATTTCTGCTAGCTAAGGATGCTGCTTTTTGTTCAAATTGCTGGTTTTCTTTTTCATGGCCATCAACCTCTTTTCAGACGGGTCACCCCCTACAACTTGCTACCACAACAACGTGGTTGAAACCTGTCCAATGATTTGGACGTAGATGTAAATAACTATATCCCCCCCTCCTTTTTTTGAGATCAAATTTTAACCCCATGGAAGGACACCCCTTATATTTGTATAACTTTAATATAACCCATTGAGCTAGGAATGCTCTTACAATAGAGATGTTGCAAAACATATCTCTCAAGTTTACCTTTTAGACCTTCTACCCACAGAAAGGGTCGTCTCTTTTATTTGTATACCGTTTTGTTCCCATTGGCTAAGGCTACTATCGCGAAAAAATGGTTTTAATCTGCTCAGTAGTTTGAGAGAAGATGCCATTAAATATTAATGATGATTGAAACAGATGACGACGTATGACGGACAAAGTACCACGACGTTAGCTCGCCATGGTACGTACATTGTACCAGGTGAGCTATGTAATTGAGATAGATTTTGTTTTAAAATAAAATGTTTACATTGTTTTCCTACAACGCACTATATCACAGTTTGTATAATTTTACCGGAGTAGTGATATCACAGTGTTACTGGTAATATCAATGTTTTATCTATTGGTTTCAACTTAAATAACAGATAACGTGTCCCCCTATATACTTACTATTTTAACGGGCAAGTCCGTTAGAAAGATTGTCTGATTTTCAGTTGTGAGTGTATGTTAGCCTTCAAGTTCAAAACAAATGTGAACAGTGTCAACTTACATGCAATATGGCTCTCCATGATCACAACTAGTGTCTTTGGATTTACAATAACGTTTGTTCTGATAGAATCGTTTTTTTCTGATACAGGTTGTTGTTTCCCAGATGCTGACTTGCATAAATTTGCGTCTACTTTTTATAGAATTAGATCTTGTTTCCGTTACAAGCTGTTTTCCTTAATTGATGATTTGCACATTCATCTGTTTTAATAGAATCGGACTATTATTCTGCTACATGCACAAGCTTTTTCTTCTTTCCAAATGCTGACTTTACCAGTTATTCCAGTCTGTTATGGTAGAATCGGTCATTTTGTTATTCAGGTTGTTATTTCCAAAATGCTTACCTTTGGCATCAAGTCGCATATGATTTGATAGAATCGGGCTTCTTTCTAATACAGGCTGCTTTCTGATTACGCAGGACTTATTTGTCGAATAAAAAGCAATGCTGATGTAATCATATTAAATGATAATCTAACAATTTAACAGGTACTGCACTTGCATTCCTCACCTACCCGAAAGCCGTTTCCTTGATGCCAGGAGCCAGCTTTTGGGCAGTACTGTTCTTCTTCATGTTGTTCCTGGTTGGAATGGATAGCTTGGTAAGTAAAGAGATCAAGAGTGTAATTTATTAAATAAACATTTTTCTTTTATTTCTATCATTTCTCAAATGACTATGACATGCTATTGTTTGAAATCATATATTTGTTAGATGTTTCAATTGAGAGAAAAAAAGTAAATAATTTTGATAGGGAAGCATTATTAAACATATAACCCTTTCGACGTAGCAAGTACAATAACAATCCAAATTGACCGGAAAAAATACACTGAAGCCAAGTTTGTTTCGTATAAGTTTTGCATGCGCGTTAAAAAATGATTACTTAATATTTTAGATCATTGCCGTTCCTTTTCAGTTCGTTTGAATAACATTGTCGGTTTTCTTAAAAACTCATTGTAAGACTTCCGTACATATTTTAGTTCCTCGGAGTCGAAGTAGCCGTGACCATGATGGTTGACGCCCTCCCAGAGAGGTACCAGAAGAAATGGAGTCGGATGGTATTGACTGCCGTATACAGTTTTGCTCTTTTCCTAGTTGGGTTGTCTATGACGACACGGGTAAGTATTGTTAGAAGGGAAAATGTCCTATCTTCCTTTTTGATATTTTTTTTTGATAGTCAGCTGTTTAATGTACATCGTTTATTTTCGGTGTATAAATAAATGTCATGAAAATAATTTCAGCTAATAAACAGGCAATCTTTGTTCATGTCAATTCAGGTTAAATATTGTTAGATCAATTTGAACTGAAAAGTGCAAAAAAAGTCAATTTTAGGTAAAAAGGTCTGAATTTAACTTGAAAAAAATCAGCATGACAAATTCGCGTCTATTTCAGGTGAGGATTTGTTTTCATATCATATTCACCTTAGACAGTTTGCATTTCGAAATAAATAACTTCAGAAAAATAAGACCATAAATAAGACCATAATTTCCAAAACTGTTTTCATGCTTCAGTCATTACATTTTAGAATATATAATAAGTTTATTCAAACAGGAAACATATAAGTCGAAATTCGAAATAATAAATAGCAGAGATGTTTTATTACACATTTCTTGGAACATCATTCTTTAAAATAAAAGAGACGTAAAACGATCATTTAAAAGTCATTACAATCATAAATCATAAACATTTTGTGTATCGTCGGTGTTTGGTGTTTTTCTTTTAATAGGGAGGTATTTACATTTGGATCCTGTTTGACAATTTCTCTGCAAGTGGCATGGTGCTGCTATGGGTCTGCTTTTGGGAATGCATTGCAATCGGATGGGTTTTCGGTAGGTATCATTTATGATAACTTTAACCAAATTTATGTACCTGCGCATAGACCATATCTTTACACACGCTTACATTTTTTGTAATCCTTGTGACCAACAAACCATTTACTATCAAACATTCTATGACTGAATGGACCAATTTTAAACAATTACAATTATAATGTCATAACTACGAAAAGTTTGTGTGATGCAGTTTCTTAACAATTTATATATAATTATTTACATTTAATTAATCTATCAATAAGATCTGATCTTTTCTCCAACCAATTCAAAATATTGATGGTAAAACATTCATTTTTAGTGTTGTTTGGCCCTATATGACTCAAATACACCATCATACCCTGCATCTAACACACTATACTTAACAAACATGGTGGCACATCCTGGAATGACATAAGCTGTTAATACATGTGTATATCGTTAACAGTATAAAAACAAAACCAATAAAACTGTCAAAAATATATTAAGACTGCAAAAGAAAATGTGATTTTACAACAAAATATTTGTTTACATACATTTACAAGACGTGTAAAAATAAGGATGATGCTATGATTTGTGTCAAAGAAAAAAACACTTTCTTACTCATGCGGTTGGAAGGCGAGCGGTAAAGGCGTGACCGTCTGACTGACTACAATCACTAGCTCTTCATCACTTGGTCACGGGTTTGAGGCATACATGTGGCAGTCGCCAGGTACTGGCCGTAGGTCGTTGGTTTTTTCTCCTGGTAATCTGGCTTTCCTCCACCACCAAATCCTGGCACGTCCTTCAATGGATATAGGACGTAAAACACAAACAAAATTTCTGATACTCTTTTCTGTTTAAAATTTAACAGCGTGCAATACATATAACAAAACAATGCTTCATTATACATCACATTTAAAAAAAATATGTAAATGTCATGAAATAGAAGATATGCAATGTGTAAATATTTACTCGCCCGATCGCAATTTTTATACCTAGTGAAAATCTCCACCCTCTCCAACCCATACAAGTAAGCTTGGTCTAAGTTATTGGTACCGTTTAGTTAGATTTTTACGAACGAGTACTTTTTATACGTGTCAGTAGGGTTTTTTTTGTCATGAAACAATTGATGTTTTGCTGAATCAGTTACTCTGAAGAAAGGTTGTATTAATATATACTACAACTTTACGAGATCTAGATGACTCCTGTAGTGTCTATTGCTATAGTGATAAAAATGTTCAAAAATGATGTCTATGTCAGATCGGGCATTGCGTGTTAACAGGTGCCGATAGATTTGATGACATCCTTTACATGATGCTGGGTTTTAAGGTCAACCGATTGTTGTGGGTTTGTTTGAAGTTCATCACTCCCCTACTCACTACGGTAAATATGATCGTTATTGTATTTAATTATCAGAATGAAAAGAAAATTTAGAATGTAGTTGTAATTTTCATCAAATCCAGTCGTCTTTTTAAAACTTAATCCGAAATGCTTCACTATAATATTATGTTTCAACCTTCTACGACGATCATTTTAAGTTAATCTTGTGTGACTTGAAACCCCCTTTTATTAAAATTTCGTAACAAACAGGGCTCAACTTTAGCAGGATAACGTGCCAAACAATGATTTCCATGTGCAATAAATAAGGTCTTTAGTTTATATAATGTAGTAAGCGGTATGATGACTATACTTTCTGTTTTGTTTTCAAGGTGTTATTCATCTCGCAACTGACGTCGTTACGACTGGATAATTTAGGATCTTCGTATTCATACCCGCCACTCGCTCAAGCCTTTGGCCTAATGTTGTCATTGTCATCAATGGTGTGTGTTCCAGTCGTCATGGTCTATAAATTAATGGGTATTTCTGGTTCTTTTTCTGAGGTAAGTCAGCTTCAAACATAATACAGCAAGACCCTAGTAACAAAACAATGTCCCAGTGTAACAAAGAAATGTTTGCTTATGTCAGATTTGAACATAATACATAGAAAATATGTTTAAAACAACCCAAATAACAATAACGTATATTTGTTGTAACCTTTGTTATGTAAAGGATTCCCCCGCGCGTGTTGAAAATTTCAATATCTGATCATGGTCATCCTCTGTTTTATATGGTAAAACCTCGTGAATTATTTGCAGAACTTGTGATATATATATTGTATGTCCTGTGATTTATGTCAAGCATTTATTATCCCAAACGACATTGTGTTGAGAGGACGATATGAATGTAAAAACAAGAAAAATCTTCCACTTTTTAGGTCACCTGGGCTTAACTATTTCAAACTAAAAGACAAGTTCTACTGGGCCGATTTAACTGAAACTTGGTAGGAATGATCGACTCTAGTCCTGACAAAGTGTTGTTATTTCTCGAGTCGATCAAAATTCCAATATGGCCACACGGCCGCCATTTAAAAAAAAAAAATGTTGTTATATTTCGGTTTGATCGGAAATCCAATATGGCCGACCGCTTTTTGAAAATAACTATTTCAAACTTAAACTCGACTCATGGTCCTGGCAAAGTTAACTTAAGGTTATGCTTAACTATTTTTCACTCAAATTGGTTGGGATGATTGACATAATTATCTCCACTTCATATTTCAGCAACAAAAATAAATACTGTAGGACTCAGGTGGCCTCTTGTGATTAATGATAATTTGTTTGATTCATATGGAAAACAAATCTTGTGATTTGTCTGTTAAATCCAATCATGTCATCATTGTGTGATACAAGTTCAATATAGTTTGCTCATGGGTAATCATCTGTGGTAATTGCTTATTGTTTGTAAAAGCATTTTCTAGGGCTGCAGAATGTTAACTTTTGTTATTACTACAAAACACTATGTATGAAGGCACAATATGGATTTTGTGAGCGAAAACTCATACAAGATGGTTGTGACAATGCACACCATCCAACGTTCTCTGTTACTCTGTAACTATCACTTTAATAATTCGGTCAAGCAATGGACAACAATGCTAGCTGTTATAAATACAATATTAAGCAAATCACGATATCATGAAAATTAATAACGAAATTTAAATAGAAATAGAATCATTTTGAAAACAAATAATTAGATTTGAAACTTATGGATCCAATGCCTGAACCTTTTCCAAAGCCAGCTCAGAATTGTGATGTCAAACTCAGTCGTGTGTAATTTGGCCATGGGATAGTATCTATGATGTATCTTGATGTAGACATATAAATATTGGTATAATATATATTGAAATTAATTATTGAAAAAAAAAATCACTCATATTTGCAAAACTTTAAAATCGTTCGACACGGATTAACAGTTAACAAGACTGCATAGGAAAACTTTAGGAAGATTTAAGTGAGTAATTTCTACAAGATTATACGTAGTTGCAACGTTTTTGCTCGATGAAGTTACTTAAACGATAATGTTACTGCAAACAATCGAGGTGATGCCCAAATGTGTTGGCTTAGTGCTTCTTCATTATATTATGTATATAGCACCACAATTTTTGCAACAAAGTCAGTCGAAAACCTAACATGAAAACCTGTTCCTTATTCCGTTCATGCAACTCAAAAAGATTGCTGTGTGAATTATTTAATGTAAAATAAATTGTAAATTTTATAGAGATCTTACTGTTTTTCCAGCGACTGAAAATACTGACAACTCCCATTATAGAAGAAAGTCGAATACCTAGGACGTGGGATTCGGAAACGTGCAGGGTTACAAAAGTTCCCATGGACAAGAGAGAAGAGAAACATCAAATGCTATAAATATATCATGTTATATTTTCACTTACTTATACTATATTGCGAGACAGCGAGTTTGGTCTCACAAGGTGTGTATGCATATTTTTGAAAATTACAGAGTGATATTACATATGTTAACCCTTTCACCCCTATGTAACTTGAGTAGACTCTACCATACATTGATATGGATGAGTCCATTATGGTCTACAGTGGTGAAAGGGTTAAAGACCGGGGTCAGACTATAAATAGCAGCCACTCAGAAAACATGGAGGAAAATTCAATTTTTTGGCCACATTCACTTCAGAGAAGGTTTTTATGAAATAATGATTATTTCCATTTTAATATATTTCCAAGTTTTTGTTTGGGTGTAGATAACAGTGATGTAATTATTTATACCCAATATCAACTCTGAAAAAAATGTGATAACCGGTATAAATGGAAATTAAAGTACAAGGCAGTACAATTCTGGGCTATTGATTGACAGGTCTGGTGTGTTTACACCGGAAGTGCTAGTAGCAATGTACACACGTGCTAACAAGCAAGCACTGCAATATATATGTGTTTACATACCTCTCTTTCTGTATAGTGTTGTATACTTCATCCATATCAGAAATAAATCCCAATGCAAATTATTCTGAATAGTACTATTGTTGAATTAAAAATTGAACAATATTTGTAATGGAACTATTCCCACATGTGACCCTTATAAGATACATTGGGAGGATTAGGAAACCAAAATCTCACAAGTTCCAGTATGCATTTAGGCATTAAATCTCGTCTATGGTATACATATTTAGTCTTGCGTAAGTCAGTAGAAAGAGCTTGTTTTTTCCTTTCAGTATATCTGGGGTCCTTCCATACTTTTCTGTGAAAAAGATTGGTCCAAAATCGCTTATATTTTTCTTTTCTAAGGGCAGAATTTCGTTTATGTTGCTCAACATTTTCAGTTTCCCACCACAGCTGCTTGTTACTTTCATTTGTTATACACGGACGACACAGACAATATTCACACTCTTCCGCATCAGACACCTGCTCTACAGTAAACTGTTCAACATCAGTTCCATTGTCAACATCTGAAGAAAGATTATTTCCTGATGAAGTCTCCACCTGATCCTGAACAGGCACTTCATTATATTCCCAATCATAATGATTGAACAGTTGATATATGGTGTCCTTTTGTTCTTGTGTTACAACAAGAGCAAGGATAGATTTTGGGTCATGTTGTTCCTGATTATCCATTATGAGTGAGGAGTAATTCAGAAATGCGCCAGTTTGGGTATATACGCGGGAAACCTGTGAGGAAATGGGGCAATAACCAGGAGCATGTCATAAATGGTTACATTATAATAACTTAGTACACAGTATGAATAAAACCATTGGTGTTCTTATTAATATATATATATATTTTACTTTCATTTATAGATGTTGTTATATTTATCAGTAAACAGAATAAACCATTTAACAAACAGTAATCCTTTCAGGTTCCTCTATTCATATATTGTCTGCCTATGACCCTATCCAGGTGTTTAGGGGCTATCCAAAGGTACTATCTGAAATTTGTATACAGGCAATTTTAGGTAAAATATCTAAATATAACCACAGCATCAGTAATAAAAATTATCCATTGTCAAATATTTTTATTATACAGGTATGTCACGACAAAATCATGCACATTAAGTCATAATAAAAACTTGTGTATTACAATGTATCAGAACCCTGATGACTGGCCCCAAATTATAAACACTGACCAGGACAGTAAAGAAAACAAATACTCTGGAATTGATATTGGTGTGAAAGATAAGAGCACATTATGTGCACACATTTGGTACCCTAGGCTGACTGGGTTCAAAGCTAGTTAATTGGGATCAACAAGATAAGAAAGATCAGACAATCACAGATATTTATCCCCAGGCCACTCTGTCATTTGTTTCATTACCACAGCATTAGTTTCAAGTGAAGCACGGTAAACACATATAAACTAGTGCAAGATGATAAAATAGTCAAATGTTTTAATTATTTTGGTATACTGGGATAAACACTAACCAGATAATAATTTAGCTGGTGCAATTCAATATGTCAGGACTCCGATGACTGGCCCCAAATTATAAACACTGGCCAGGACAGAGAAGAAAACAAATACTCTGGGATTGATATTGGTGTGAAAGATAAGAGCACATAATATTCTGACTGGGTTCAAAGCCAGTAAATTAGGGTCAGCAAGATAAGAAAGATCAGAAAATCACATCTATTTATCCCCAGACCACTGTCATCTGTTTCATTACCACAGAATCAGTCTCAAGCGAACATACAATAGATCTACACGTGTATAGCATGGCTAGCCCATCAAAACAAAGGAAAAGGACACCAAGTTTTAGAATTGAATTTTCTGGGGATGACGTTAAAAAAGTCGACATTCTAGGGAAATTGCAAAATGTACGGACATTCCTGACAAACAGGCTAAACAAATCAGTGGGAAATTTACAAGCCTTGGAGACTATTATGGAGTTTTGGACTACTGGTCAACAGGATGAGTCTATGGATCTTAATACAATGCCAGCACCTAGTACTTACCTAAAAGCTTCAAAGAAGAAAGTTGATCAAAAACTATTTCTGTGTGCAGAAGAGTCTTTGCAAAACTTGATTACAGTTGTGGAACACCATTCAGAACATTGTAAAGAACATCTTCAAATGAAAAAACCTATTCAGAAAGGACATGTTTTAAAGGCTCACTTTCAATGTGACAGCCATAAGATGGCGTGGTCTTCTTCTCCGTACCTTCCAGACAAGGGTTACTTAGTGAATGACAGAGTTCAGCATGGTTTTATCTGCAGTGGAATGTTGCCCTCGCATTATGCAAAATTTGTTGATGGTGCTGGTATTGGAAAAATAAATAAGCAAATAAGATCACACTTCTTTAAGTCTTACCAAAAACATATTCAGGATGAATACAATGATTCAACATCAACAGCACTCCTCGAGGAAATTGGTCTTTATGAAGATGAGAGGTTAGGGAGTATTGATATGATGACAGATGCCAGGCATGGATGGAGGAAGAATGCCAAGGACACAAGTGTTGTTGCTATTGGTGACCGCACACATAAAGTTATAAACTGCCAACATGTTACCAAAGCAGATGACAACGTTTCTCAGCGACATGAGAAACTGGGAACAGAAAAGATATATAAGTATCTATCTGACAACACTGTCTCTGTGGGAGTCCATACTCATGACAGGAATCTATCTATTAATAAGTACATCAGAGAAGAATGTGAATCCGAAAACCAAAATGACACCTGGCATTGTGTGAAATCTGTCAAAAAGGCACTCAAAGGAGCAGCATCAGGTCCAGCTTCTCTTCAAGGAAAAACTTGGTCTTTTCAGCTTAGTGACAAAGTTGAACCTGTTGCCACCCACATGCATTGGGCCGTTAGAAACTGCGGGGGCAATGCTGTAAAACTACGACAATCTTTGGAAAACGTCACGGAACATTACAAGAACAACCACAGTGCATGTGACCCAACATCAAGATGCAAAAAAGATCCAAACTACGATATATCAAGGATAGGAATTACTGATCCAAAAGCAGAAAAGTTACTTATTGGCATACTTACCAAATCAACATTATTCAAGCATGCAGAGGACTATAGGTTGGGAAGAGACACATTTTATGTAGAAAGCTTCAACAATGTGATAAACGTTTACCAGGACAAGCGTATTGCTTTCTCAGATGACCAATACAGATCAAGAGCCAACTTAGCAGTCTGTCAATGGAATGAAAATGTTGATCGTGGATATACATCTGTTTGGAATCCTCAAAACCAACATGCACCACGCAGTACCAAAGGAAAGAAAAATTACAAAAAATGTACATTCAAGTTCAGGCAAAATATTTGGAAAAGATATGTTGACACTCTGTACAAGAAAGCAAGGAAACGAAAACGAAACACATAGCTTGTAAGTAATACCCTATCACAGTAGTGTGTATGATGTTTATAATGCATGCTGTATACTAGCCATGTGCTCTAACTTGCTGCTAGCTATTTATAGAGCACTGTCCAGCTATGGGCGGGGTCTAGGCCTAATAGCTTACCACCTGGTAAAAGAAATAGGTCGACCCCGGTCTTTAAGAGACGGAGGCAGCAGTCATTGGCACTTTCAAGAGAATGTGGCGTGATGTCACCACTCTTTATTTTTCTGTCTTAGAAGTGCTCGCTTTATTACTTTTTAAATCTTCAATTTATAATCATCTTACAAAATTGGTAGCTTAACCACTGTTTTGGGCGGGGCCCTATATGTTACATTCCTGGAAGTGAAACTTTACCGTTTATTACATACTTCCCCATTGCTAATAGCATTATTAGTAAAATATTAATTGCCTATATTTTTGAGTTAGTATTTTGTTTATAACCTATAGAGAAAGTGATATGGAAAATAATAAAAGCCTGGAGAATCTCGTGTTGGTTGAAGGGTTGCACGTATAGCTAGCAACCCTGGCAGTACCAATCAATGCATGCACATAGATACATACATATTATTAAAATATACATTTATGCATCAATCAAACCTTTCTAAAGGAATGAAATGTTTGAACCAAAGAAATATCATGTAATGTTCATTGTTATGAATATGTTCAGTTGCTAAGTTAGTGTATTTAATCTTTGCCTTCATACCGGGACAAACAAAAGTCCTTTAAAAGGGTGGCTGTTATTTCCTGTAAAATGAAAGTTACGGAAAACTCGACATCTTCACCATCAGATGATTTTCTTACAATGCTCCAGGATATCGCATTACACTAAAAGTATTGCAATTAGTCGATTCGTCCATTAGCATGTAGTCCGTACCATCGAGTATTGGACAACTGAAACTATTTATTGAGCCAAACGATTTGGTATTCATAAACAAGAGGCCCAGAGGGCCTGTATCTACCACCTGGATCGTTATGTCCTGCAATGGTATATACATGTATATTGCTTGGGTTCAGGATCTCAACCATTTCAAAGTTATGGCCCAAAGGTTCCCAATGCCCCACAAGAGTCAGTACTAATATCATAATGGTGTTCGTCTCGTGATGCTCAGCAACGGTATATATGGTTATGGGGTGGGATCTCAACCGTTTTAACGTTATGGCTCAAGAATGAAGTTCCAAGGAGTGGGGCAAGACCCATCAGTCAATTATAATATCATGATTGTGTTCGTCTCTTGATGCTCAGCCATGGTATGTATGGTTATAGGGTAGGGAACTCAATCGTTTCAAAGTAATTGCTCAGGAATCAAGTCCCTAGGGGTGGGGCCATTATTTTATCTCCAGTATTTCGTCTCATGATCCTCAGTAATTGTTTACATGGTTATAGGGTGAGGATCTCAATAATGTCCAAGTTAAAAATTCGTTTTGGCCTCGCATCTCAGACCCAGGGGTTAGATCTTCAACTGTAAAAGTTTGAATACTCAACCACCAAAGAATGCCTTAGATCAAATATGGTTGATATCCATCACTTTGTCCCAGAGAGGAAATTGATTTAAGCAATATGGCAAAATAATACTCCTTACATCCTGCGTTTATACAAAAGAGAAATCCATTTGCACAAGGATGTTCTAGACAAAATTTGGTTAAATCCCTCAATTTGTACAGAAGTTGGAGGATTTGTAAAATCATATTCCTAAATTTCCCCTTTAAGGGCCACGCCTCTCTTGTCCCGCGGGGACCATATCCTCGAATTATACAAAATTGGGTCCCCTTTATGCAAGGATGTTCTACACCAAATTTGGTTTCAATCCCTCCATTCATACAGGAGAAAGGTTTTAAACATCCCCCCCCCCCTATGTTCTCCCAAATGGGCCCCGCCCCCGAGCCCCACACCCTCCGATAATGCAAATTGAATTTCATTTGCTCAAGGTTTTTCTTGACAAAGTTGATTAAAATCCCAACATTTGTATAGAAGGAGATGAAATTTTAAGATGTACCTCAATTTCCCCTATTGGGCACGCCCGCTGTTAATACACAAACTTGAAAATCTTAAAATTTGACAAACCAAGAGAATATCACATTAAAATATAACTATAGCTTTCATTCAAAGCGGGATACAGTAAATTAAGTCAGTGAAAGATATAATTAGTAATTACAGTGTGTTGAGTTGAAATGTTACGGCTTTCACATTAAATAAAAACATGTCTTTTTCAAACATAAAACTGGGGTAATGATCAAATTTTATATTTTCAAAAGTTTACGTTTTCAATTAATTCAACATGCCTGACTGATCTGATATCTATCTATTGGTGCATTATTTCTGGAAAATTAACATGCCGTATTAATACATCTGACACCATCTTAAACTGTCACATATATTCTACATGGTTTTATATTGTTTAATGTCCTCAAGGTCATTTAAGGATATTGATCTCACAATTATAAAGTTATAGTAAAAGTGGACTGAAAAAAAGTTACTGACACATATCAGTGTTTTTACTGAG